ACGAACTTAAGTGAAAATTTCACTTACACATTTAGCTATGAAATTAAATATTTCTTTTATTTAGTAAAACTTAAATATCAGATTAAGGAGCTCAAAGCATTTCAAAGAGTCTGGAAAAATGCCAAAATATAACATAATTACATCTTAATTTATGGTATTTTTAATTAATTAAATTTTATTAAATAAATATAAAAGATATAATTGATATCTATATTTCAATGTTTTTAATTCTTTCGATAATTGATTAAATTTTTAATTCTTTATTTGTGGTAAATATTTTGAAATTTAATAGAGAAAATAATTAAAAAACGAAATATTATTTTATGAACTTAATTTAAAATTTCACTTACACATTTACTACTATGAAATTAAATATTTCTTTTATTTAGTTGGAATTTAATATCAGATTAAGGAGCTCAAAACATTTCAAAGAGTCTGGAAAAATGCCAAAATATTACTGAATTACATCTTGATTTAAGGTATTTTTAATTAATTAAATTTTATTAAATAAATATAAAAGATATAATTGATATCTACATTTCAATGTTTTTAATTCTTTCAATAATTTATTAAATTTTTAATTCTTTATTTATGGTAAATATTTTGAAATTTAATAGAGAAAATAATTAAAAAACGAAATATTATTTTATGAACTTAATTTAAAATTTCACTTACACATTTACTGCTATGAAATTAAATATTTCTTTTATTTAGTTGGAATTAAATATCAGATTAAGGAGCTCAAAGCATTTCAAAGAGTCTGGAAAAATGCCAAAATATTACTGAATTACATCTTGATTTAAGGTATTTTTAATTAATTAAATTTTATTAAATAAATATAAAAGATATAATTGATATCTATATTTCAATGTTTTTAATTCTTTCAATAATTGATTAAATTTTTAATTCTTTATTTGTGGTAAATATTTTGAAATTTAATAGAAAAAATAATTAAAAAACGAAATATTATTTTATGAACTTAATTTAAAATTTCACTTACACATTTACTGCTATGAAATTAAATATTTCTTTTATTTAGTGGGAATAAAATATCATATTAAGGAGTTAAAATCATTTCAAAGAGTCTGGAAAAATGCCAAAATATTACAAAATTACATCTTAAATTAAGGTATTTTTAATTAATTAAATTTTATTAAATAAATATAAAAGATATAATTGATATCTATATTTCAATGTTTTTAATTCTTTCAAAAATTTATTAAATTTTTATTTATTTAATAATTATTAAAAATAAGATATTTGTGAAAGTAATTAATAATCTAAGAATCGCTATATAAAGAAGTCAACAAGTAAAATTCTTAAATTTTCATTTTTTTGAAAAAGTCTTTAATAATTTTTTAAAAAGGTAATGATTATTCATACTACTGAGTACCCTTTGAATAGTGAAATATATTAAATAGACAAAAATATATATTAATTTATCTGAAATTTCAAATTTTTTAAAAAAATTTAGTTTTCTTAAAGCAGCAAGATAAGTTAATAGTAAGGCAGTTTCTAAAAATAATTTATAATTGACCATTGATTAATAATAATCGTTTAATAAAGACAATGATACTAAATTAATCATTCAACAAAATAAGTATATCATAAATAAATTATCCTAACCAAAATTAAATAAGCTAAGAAATGCTCTTTTAATTGAATAAAAAGTAAGAATTAAAAAAATTTTGTAAAAAGAAAATGCAATATCTAACAAAAAGAAATCATAATTGTTTGGAGGTAGTAAAAATATAAAAGATTTTGATAGCAATTAAAAAACAATCTTTAAGAATAACAGAAAAAAAATTAGCTCATTAATAAATACAAATATAGAGGAGAACAAAATTAAAGTTGAATTTAATGAAACTTAAAATGAACAAAATTATTCTAATACTGAATAAGCAAAATATGATGAATTAAATAAAGGACTAAAATAATTTTTTAAAAATTTGCCTAAGTATAAAGAAATAATCCAAAAATACGATTAATGTTTGGAAATGAAAAAATAAAAAATTTTAGATGAATAAAAGAGAGAATAGCTTTAAAACAATAAAATTATTTCATAATCATCATAAATTGTTGAGAAATATGAAACCTTCAGAGAAATCCTAAGTACCAAATCTTAAAATGAAGAAAGTAAAAAGAACTAACTATTTAAACAAACAAAAAATCTTGATTACGATTCTGAGAAATTTTTAAGATAAATATTTAAATTAGGCGATCATATCAAAAGTGGAGGGGAGGCAGATATATTTAAAAATCAAAATAATGACAGTATAGCATATAGAATAATTAAATTAAATGGAGATGATGATCTAAGGAAATAAGAAAAAGAATTATTAAGAATTTAGGAATTATAAGAATAAAATATTTTAAATATAGATAGTTCTCATCTAATAGAAGATAAAGCTAATCATACTAGGTATATCATTAACTCTATGTAAAAATGTTAAATGAGTCTTTACGATGAAATATCAAAAAATAAAGTTTTTAATCTTAGAGAAACTTTAAAATTTATTTCTACTGCATTTCATTTATTGATTGTACTTAGATAAAAGTATATCTATCATTCAGATATTAAACCGGGAAATATCTTAAAAATTGATGATAATAATTACAAATTATCTGATTTTGGTGCTTCATAGTAAGTTGATTTTATTGATCCTTTTTGTGATTATTAAATGCATACAGATGGTTATAAACCATAAGATAGAGAGAAGAATTTACCTTTTTATCATGATATCTATTCTTTTGGTAAAACTATCCAAAAGTTATTAATGTAATTAGGAAATTGCTCAGAAAAAATTTCTGATTGTTTAAAAGAATTTATAAAAGAAGAAATTTGTAAAGATGATGAGAATTCTATTAATGTAGATTGCTTTGAGTTGCCAATAAAGTTTATAAATAAAATAATGAAATTTACTAATGATGGAGTTATTGATGTTTTCTTAGAGGAATATTTAAAATAGATAGAGCAATACTTAGTTATCAAAAAAGAAAATAAAGTATTTCAGTATGAATCATAATATTAATATGCTGAAATAACTCTTTTGATTATTTCATAAAAAAGTCAAGATAGCAATTAGCAGAATCAGTTAAATTCAATTAAAATTAAGGCTCTGATAACTAAAAGTTATATTTTATGTAAAAGAAAAAAATATGAAGAATCTCTCGAATGTATTAATGAAATTTTTCAAAAAGATTTTGAAGATAATAGTTAGTTAGAAATCTTAGTAAAATCAATTAGAATTGTAATTAAGATCTTAATAAAGCAATATAATATGATAAAATTATCTTAAAAAAATGAAAATAAACTGATTGAATTAATTAAATTAGTTAATAATGGTGAAGAATTTGATAAATTAAAAATAAAGATAATAGAGCTTCTATTGCTAAAATCAAATGTAATATATCCAATCATTACAGATTTTTATGATTCTCTAAAAAAATAAGTTGAAAACAAGGAGTTTGGTATGGTTTATAGGATAATTTACAAATTGATTAGGTATTTAAGAAAATAAAATTGTTATGACTAATCACTTTACTAATTAATTTAATTTATTCAAAATGATAAAATGAATAATGATTCATATTACAAATAAAAATTACTGAAAGAAATGGGCTTATATCTTTACAAATTTCTTTTTTAAAATGAATAGCTAGACATTAAATTTTATGTTAAATAAGGAAAAGAAATTTAACTCTTGCCATTTATTATTTTTAATTGCTTGAATGGCATTAAGCTAAAATCAAATTTATAAATTTAATTTGATAAAAGTATTTGGTAATTATATTCAATATTTATATAGCTATAAGAATTAAATATTTATAGCTTTGATGAATGCAAAGACATTTTAGATAATTTAGAAAAAAAATATAAAAATATAATGGTTATAATAAAAAAAGATAACTAATTGCCATTATTTATAGAATATGTTTTATACAACAAACTTAATTACTATGAAAAGTATCTTAAAAGAAATAATATAAAAAATTATTAGTTTTTTAATGAAGAAGAAATTAGACACAAAGAAAAACAAATAATTTAATCAATAAAATTTATTGAAAAATTAATTTTTTGGAAAGAGCGATATCTATTGATTAATGAGTTATCTCAAAATCAAAAAGAAACAATGAGCTTGCTTAATTTAATAACATACTTTGAAAGCAAAGAAATTAGTCTAAATTATATAGGTTCTTTGAAAAAATTCAATGAACAGGTTGAATCATTTAATTCTGAGCTCAATTTTGACAATATAATGCTTCACAATTTAAAAAAGTAATTATTTAAATTAAAATCGTTTAACTAAAAAAGAAATTTAAAATTATTTATTTTAATTAATTTTCTTTTTTTTTAATTTTTAATTTTAGTTATTATTAAATTACAATAAAGTTTACATGAAAAAGAGAAGATTTTTGAATAAATAAGCTTAAGCATATGGTAAATTTATTTGGTTAATTTAATTCATTAAATTCTATAAATTAAAACTTGTTTTAAAGTTCTTTATATTTTTAAAAATTAATTTTACTAAAAACTAAATAATTTTTCATGATACTTTTCGATTATTTATTAATACAAAGAAATATTTATAAAATTATTTTATTTAATAAAATATTACAGTGAAGATGCTAATAGCTTATTAAAAATGCCATGTTTTACTTTTTTTACTTTAAATTTGAGAAAAGTATAAGCTTTCAAATTAAAATTTAAGAAAACAATTTTGTCTATAAATTAAATTAAAATGTTTACGTAGAAAGCTGAAATTCTAAATAATATCACTCAATTAACACTTGATTTTAGGTAATTAGTTTATTTTTTTTTCTAAATTATATTTTTACTTTTCTTTCTTAGCAAATAAATAAAATCTATAGGACTTTATGTATTTAAATATATGATAGATTTTTTTAATTTTGTTCATATTAAATGTCTAAATTGTTATGAAATTATTTTAATTTAATTTTAAAATTATATTTATTTTATTTTAATAGTTAATCAACCTTTTAAGATAGACCTTATATTATATTTAATTTAACAAAGATAATAAAGGATTGCTTGAAAAATTATGAAAGAATTAGTAAATTAAATTTTAACTTTGGAAGGTAAATTATTTAATATTTATTTAATAGGAAATTATATACAATTTCACTATTTCAAAACAAAATAATAAATTAATATTATTATTCATTCTTAAATTAACAACTTAACTATTTAAAATTATTTTTAATGAAATAATAATCAAATTAATAATTATGGTGCTTATATAGTCGCCAAACCTATTTTAATTAAAAGCCTCGATATTGTTAAATTAGCCATAAAATATAGCAATAAATTTAAGCTGATTTTAATAAATTTATAAGCTTTAAATTAAATGAATTAAAATTTTATAAAATATAGGTTCAAAAATAGTCTTTATTATTGTTTTAAAGACTTTTTTACATTTGCTTAAAATTATTAAGAACTTACTCCTTTAGAATTACAGTTAAAGTAGTTTCATTTTTAACTTTTCTATTAACTTTAAAAGGTCTAAAATAATTCTTTTATATAAATTATAAAATATTTATAATGGTAGGTTAAAAGATAATGAAATAATAGAATATATTTAAGATTTTCTTATACAACTAACTGAAAATTTAAAGAATAATTAATTGATATAAATTAGCCTCAAGAAAATTACTGATATTGCACTAAATTTAAAGTAATTTTGTTATAATTATTTCACTAAAATTTAATATTTACCAAAATTTAAAACAAAAAAAAACTGTGATTTCAATTAATATAACTCCTTTATCCAAAAAATTTTTGAGGTTTTGGTAATACTAATAAAAATTTTTAGCAAGTATTCAAATTTTATTTGCTAATTACAACTTAATTAAAGTAAATGAAAAATTAATTTTTGAACTTTTTTTTATATTTTACTTGAAAAAATAATTTTTGAGCAATAGTTTAAATAAATTTTAATTTATTAGTCAAAACATGACCACTTTATAAAGAGCTCTTATAAATATAAATGTTTTATAAAATAATAAAAATATTTTATAGCTAGCTATTTATTTAAAGTAAAATTAATTAATTAGACTTATTTTTTCATTTAATAATTTTAAAAATCTCTATTTCATTTCTTTAATTTTTTAGATATAAATAAATTAATAAATAAACCTTAATAATCGTAGCGATGACATTATAAATATTAGTAGATTAGATATTTAGGATTTAATTATAGATATTCAAAAACATATGAATTAACCTTTCAGTCACATAAAAATCCTATAAAAAAAATCAATTATATTTGAAGAATAAGTTTAGATTATTTAAAAAGTCGATAAAACGTAAGAATTTTCATTTATCTTATTTTTGTAAAATAATAGAATTAACTGACTGCTTCCTTTTCTAATTTATCACTTTTATTTTTTTGATGATTCCTATTTACTTTTTCTTTTGAAAACCAACAATTTTAGATAAAGAAAGTTATGCTGAAAAAT